GTACCAATAATTAATACTAACTTTCATCATTTAATTTTAAATAATTAAAAAAAATTTTTAAATTTAATAATAATTTAGTTGGAAAAACTTAAAAATTTAATAATTTAATTTAAAAACATATACTTAATTTATAATTCATGATTTAAAATATTTAAAAAAATTTAATTTAATTTAAACTTATATTTAATAATTCTCAAATTAACAAAATGATTTATCATTTAGATTTATAGGAAACAAAAACAATTTTAAGACAGATGAATATTTTTGAATTGTAAAATAAATTGTAAGAAAATTGAAAATTAAAATGATATTAAAAAAAAATAATAATTTAGTTTTAAAATAAAATGTGGATAATTTTTAAATTGTACATATAATTTAATAATGATATTTGAAATTAATCATCATCTTAAAATGAGTTTTTAAAATTAATTTTATATACATTTTCAGAATTTACGATATAAAAAATTTTAGTTTTTTAAAGAATTGATTCTCAATGCACAATCGATAGATAACTCGTTACATTCTTTGAATTGTTTTTTTTTTTTAGATAACCCTCCAGTAGATGTACAGCCAGAAATTCCATATTCACGGTTTCATCAAGATAAGTTTGCTCATAAAGAATTTAACCACAAGTTTTTAAACAATATGTTTGGTCATAAGTGCTCCGTTTGTGATCGATTGTGGTTTCGATTAGATTTAAAATCACCACGTGCTGAAGATGAACAATTATTAAGTGTAATAGTTGAAAATTATAATACAGTTGAAGATATTTTACTGTGCAACACGTGTTACCAAGCCATTGGGAGGAAAGTGATTCCTACAATGTCTACTTATAACGGTTTTAAATATGAAACGACACCTGACGTTTTACCACCGCTTGACTTAATTTCTGAAAGACTTGTTTCACCACGAGTTCCATTTATGCAAATTAGACGGTTACGACATGTTCATGGGCAATATGGAATTTATGGACAAATCATTAATGTACCAGTCGATGTAAACAATATGGTAAAACTCTTACCCCGTAATGTCGATGATGATTACTGTATTAACGTACACATTAAAAGAAAAAAAATACATAGATCAAGCTATTTAATGGGACTGGTTAATAAAAGGACAATTCGTGCATGGCTTCAGTATCTGCTTCAAACTCCACTTTATTTATTTTACGATATTAAAATTGATGAGAGCTTCTTCAACAATGATAATAACAATGAGATTGATCTAGAAGAAATGAGTAAAGATATACCGGTTGAAGAGAGTCTAACAGCACAACAGAAAACTCTACTTTGGAATGAAGATATGTATTTACGGATCGCTCCTAGTAAATGCAACACCGTTCGCAATAGCAACTAGTGAATTACGAAGATCAGATTGGCGTGGAGTTACTCCACATCATTTATTATATCTAGCAATGAAAATTATGAGGTTAAGAGTTCGTGACTCGCTTACGATTGCATTTAAACATGTGGGAAAATATACTAATATTACACGGCAGCAAGTTGAGTCAGCTGACTACATTAATAATTGTATCGAAAGTAATTTAGCTTTCCTACGCTCAATACCAAATTCAGTTTGGTATTGGAGCGATCGAAAAAGAGATCTTTTTGCGATGATTCGGCAACTAGGAAAACCTACGATGTTTCTTACTTTGAGTGCCAATGAAATCGGATGGACCAATTTAATACAAATATTGTACAAATTAAAAAATAACGGTACTGAAATTTCAGCTGAACAAGCTGCGTCGCTGGATTACATATCTAAGACTACACTAGTGAATGAAGATGCTGTGACCTGTGCTATCTATTTTAATAAAATAGTCAATATATTGATAACTATTCTCCAATCAAAGAAAAACAGCCCATTTGGAAATTATTATGTTGTCGACTATTTTAAGCGAATTGAATTCCAGCATCGTGGTAGTCCTCATGCACATATTTTATTGTGGCTGAATGACGCTCCATCAGATCCTCTTGGTACAAACTATCAAGATACTGTAATGATGATCGATCAATTGATATCAGTTTCTTCAACAGAAGCTTCTGGACATATTCGCTTGCAAAGTCACAAACATACCTTTACTTGTTATAAAAAAGTACATGCCAATCAACCTCAGAAATGCCGATTTGATGCTCCATTTATGCCATGTAATTCCACTACAATATTAAAACCAATGCAAAAAGATCATCCAGGATATGCTGATTATGCTAAGCGGTATAAACAAATACAAATTAATCTTGAGAACAATGATTACGAGAATATTGAAATGTTTTATGCACAAAATCATATAACTTCTGATAATGATTATTTTCATATTCTTGAAGCTGGAATTACCAGACCTAAAGTATTTTTGAAGCGACAGCCTAAAGAAAAATGGCACAACCCTTTCAATCCTTTCATTCTCAATGTATTACAATCAAATACAGATATGCAATTTATTATCGAAGAATACTCATGTGCAGCGTATGTTGTTGAATACGTCAATAAAACTAATAGGGGTATAAGTAATTTACAAAGACAAATTTATGAAATCATGGAAGAAAACCCTGAGTTTGATATAGTAGAAATAACTAGAAAAATGAGTGTTAATATGCTCAATACCGTTGAATTAACAAGCAGGGAAGCAGCGTGGTACCTTCTTCGTGAACCTATGTCTAGAAGTTCAGTCTCCACAGTTTATATTCCCACCGTTTGGCCTATTGAACGACAACGTATTAGACGAACACAAAAAGAATTAGATGAATTAAATATCGATGAAGATTCAACAAGTATTTGGAAGGAAAACTGCTTTGATAAATACGAGAAGCGGCCACAAGAAATGGAAGAATTATCACTTGCACAATTCGTTGCTAATTTTACTAAAAATTCTAAAGGCGATTATATTCGTCGAAAGCAACAACGCATCATTCGTTATAGGATTTATGATATAGCCTCAGATATAAATGAATATAAAAGAGAAATGGTGACTTTGCATATCCCATTTCGGAATGAAGAATTCGATATTCTTGAAGAGATGAAATTTATTAGAATTTACGACGAAAATGAAAACCAAATTCTAGAGCGACGTAAAGAGTTTGAATCTGACTTAGACATTAATAAAACTATAGAGCTGTGCCGAAAACTATGTCGCGAAAATGAAGAAGCAGACGATGACGATGAGATTCATGATATTGCCACTAGAATTCCAGAAGCTAATCCATTCCAAACGCTATATGACAATCCGAATTCGGATGTAAACAGTGATTTACGTATCGCGACCCTAAATAAACTTGGTGCCATTGCAAAACGGAAAGAAAATCTAATACCTAACGACCAATATTATGAGCTGATGAAAATGACAAACCAAAAACAAAAGGAACTTTTGATGCACGTCATTTACAATCTTCAGTTGGAAGATCCTCCTCCGCTGCAAATATTTTTTCAGGACCAGCTGGATGTGAGTAAAACATTTGTTATTAAATTATTAATGGAAATTTATAATCGATATTCTGAAAGTGATGGGTTTTGCAATGCTTATATCACTTGTGCTTCGACTGGTAAAGCTGCTGTGGCTATCGATGGGACAACAGTACACACTGCACTGAAGATAAGTCTTTCAAAGTTGCTTCCTTTATCAATTGAAGTAGCCCAACAATACAGATCACTCTTTAAATATGTTCGTGTATTGATTATCGATGAAATCAGTATGATTGGAGCCGAGTTGTTGTCCCAAATAGATTCAAGGCTAAAGCAAATCAGCGGTAATTTTGAAGTCAATTTTGGTGGATTAGATATAATTTTGATTGGTGATCTACGTCAACTACCGCCAGTTCGTGCTACCCCAATTTACAAACAAATAAAACGACAAATAGCAGGTTCAACACTCTGGCGAGGGTTGAAATTTTTCGAACTAAACGAAGTTATGCGACAAGCTAATCAAAGTTTTGCAACAATATTAACAAAAATTGGTAATGGACAGTTGTTAGACAAAGAAAAGCTAGATTTAATTGAATCACGGATTTACTCCGAAGAAGAAGCTGAGAGACATTGTCCAGACGGTATTCGATTGTTTTTTGATAATCATTCAGTTGCTAAATACAACAATAAAATTTTGGATTCTATGGAAGAAAAAGTGAATTCAGTGGCAACAGATATATATATTGGATGTAAAAATATTGAACAGCAAACTTCTATGCGTCAAAAATTACATAAAATGTCAACTATTGATACAGGAGGTTTGCCATATCAAATTACATTGGTTTTGAACAAACCATACATGATAACAACTAACATCGATGTATCAGATGGATTAGCAAATGGTGCGACAGGAAAATTAATTTTCATTGAATATAATGACAAAGGAGAGATAGGTCGTTTATGGCTAGAATTTCCAGGATCTCCAAAAATCGGAGAAAAATTGAGAAGAAAGGCAGCGGCATCAATTCAAAAAAATAATCTTCATCCACTGGCAGTACCAATAGATCGCAGAACATCATCTATACCACTAGTACCTAATAAAACCGTTATTGTAAAACGTAATCATTTCCCATTAGTCTCTGCATGTGCAATGACGATTCACAAGTCCCAGGGAGCTACTTTTGGTGAGATTGTATATGAATATGATAAATCACACGCTCAACAACTCCTGTACGTCGCATTATCACGAGTTACATCAATAAACGGTTTATATCTAGTTTCAAAAAAAAATGATAAAAAATTTTACCATGGCCGAAGAGCGTCAGTATCTACAATTGATATCAAAATAATTTAGCATTCGTACCTTTTTTTAGTCAAAAATACTTTACCTAACAAATAAAAGAAATCGATTGGTTTTGTATTGTATTTTGCTGTTTTCTTTGAATGCGTCATGATAAATTAATTTTTTCACTTGCTAAATCTACCTTTCAATTAATCAGAAAATTAACATTCAACCATCATAAAATAATGTTCTTAAATATACAGTGATTTATTTATTTTAAATTTCAGCGAGTGGAAATCAGTATGTTGGATTTTGGAGTTTCATGAAAAAACCAACAGTTAACGTCCGAGAAAAAAACCTAGAGACTTTGCGTAATGAAATATTGCAGGAAATGGTGGTGTATTTGAACTGTGGTTTAATAGGTCCTCAACAAGATCCACTCATTTGGTGGCGACAAGAAAAAAATAAATATCCCCGATTATCACTAATGGCGAGACGATATTTAGGAATACCTAGTACTTCGTCTGAAAGTGAAAGATTATTTTTCACTGCTGGCGATATTGTATCTGATAAAAGAACTTCGTTATCACTCGATTCAGTATCGTATTTATTATTTTTGAACAAAAATTTGTAGCAGATTTTCAAATCTTGGATTTTTCATAATACTTTACTTGCTATAATATAATTTCTATTATTTCATTCTTTAAAAAAAAAAACTATATTAATTGTTCTATTTGTGTAACTATATTTCATGGTTTAAATAAAATGTATATTGACTGTTAAATTTTTATTCGAAAATTGAAAATAAGAAACCCTGAAAAAAATTCGAATTCAAAAATTTTCGGATTATTCGAAAATTTTCGAATTATTCGAAATTTTTCGAATTATTCGAAATTTTTTGAATTATTCGAAATTTTTCGAATTATTCGGGAACTTTCGAATAATTCGAATTTTCGAATTATTCGATTCGAGTTTCGAATCGAATATTAATATTCGATTCGGAACGAATAACTCGTAAGTTCGAATTCTTCGCACACCACTAGTCGAGATCTGATGAAAACTCGATTTTCGAAAAACAGGGTAAAAACAATAACTTCCCGATTTTTGAAAATTTTCAATTTTCTTAGCGGGAAGTTAAAAAACAAAAACAGGACGTGTCAAAATGATAAACAGAATCTTGAAAGTACCAGGACGAGTAATTTATTTGACTGGTGCTGGAAAGAATAAATAGAAATTCAAAACTATTAATTAAAACTTTACTTCCAGAGAAACATACCAAGTGGGACCAGAATCTACCAAAGCTTGTATATGCACATAATACATCTATTCACAGTTCTTTAACAAGATAGTGACGTTAGCCCAGCTTATTTGAATTTTGGTCGATATCCCAGGTATTTAGATTTACATCGAGGGGGAAAAGATTTAACAGAATAAGGTAGTATGAATCAGCGTAACACAGTATTATCATTAATTGACGAGCTCAGACACTATATAGAGTCATTTATGATCAAAGCTCAGCTGAAGCAAGACCAGAGACAACCTGAACCAACTATCGAATTAACTATTGGTACTGAGGTATTTATTAGTAATAAAAAATTAAGTAAGAAGGTTGATAAATTCTCAGGTAAACTTGTCCCAGCTCGTCGAGGATCATACTATGTACATAGCTTCTTTTCTAACAGTTTAGTGAATATCAAAGATCGCGATCATAATTTTATAGGTAGATTTAGTATTTTAGATCTTAAAATACCTAGGTGATCAAACCGACAAGCGAAGCTAAGTGGTTACGTAGTAGATAATTAAATACTGCTGTTATATTTTATGTAAAAAATGAAAATAATTCAACTAGAGTTAAACATTAGAGATCAATTACAAATCATGTATATGTAATAATTAGATGAATTAGAGAAAATGGATGTGTAATGTAAAGACGTACATATTCGTATGAAAAAGATGAACATAAGAACGCTCAGCGCAGGCGCGGCGGACCCGGCATGGCGAGAGCGTGGACGCTTGCAAGCAGCGGGAAGGCTGGCTCGAGCCTGCCGAGGCCCGTCGAAGCCGAGCGTGTCCCGAGCAGTTCCAAGAACTGAAGAGTATTTTATTTTCTAACTGAAGAAAATAAAATAAATAAAATGAGTATATGTATGTATAGTTTTGTAACTATATATATGTATGTGAGTATGCATATGTATCGATGTAAATGTAAGAGTAAATAAAAGAGATATGTCTGTCGAAAAAAATATAAGTTCTTTTTAAATTAAAAGAAACATTTTTTTTCGATCTTAATCATTTGTTATGAGAATACAAATGAAATATTTCAGGGCGACGATGAGACGACACTTGCTGTGCGGTGTCGTCAAATCGTTAGCTAGGGACAGTGAAGAATCTGCGTATTTGTCCCGGTACTCGTGCGTGATCAACCGACTACGGAGGAGTTTCCATTGCCGTGCGTGGGAAAATGCCCTGTAATAGGTGTGCGAGTCCGAGGTGGCACTGCGTGGAGACTCTCAGTCCAGTTTCGGATCAGAGTAAGCTGTTGTACAGATACTATGATTCAGAAACACGAAACAAATAATAAATAAGTGTCAGGTGTTAGAGTAAAAGAGATTTTAAAGAGTATAGAGTTAAATATAAAACTATGGATTATTCAAAGAGATTCATGACGAGGAACAAGAGATAGATGAAGTATAGGCCATCCGCTACTTCTATAAGATGAGTAAAATATGTCAAGAGAAAAAAAATGAAAGCTAAAAAGGAAAGAGAAGAGATGGAACGAGCCAAAAGTTCTTCTGAAAAGAAAGAGAAAGAGGAACCAAAGGAAGAAGATCCCAACAAGATCGAGACGGTAGCGGATATCCACGAGCAAAAGAGAGATGAGAGTCCAGAAAAATTGGAAAACACTAGAGAAATAGACGAGACACAAGAAAAAAGTAAGTTATCTTTATACAATTAATTTCCGACCATCAATTAATCGTAAGTAGAGTAAATCTGTAAAATTTAAGAGTTTAGACGTTGATAATATTGGTTAAGAGAACTTAGAGAATAGAGAATAGAGATACTCAATATTATTTAGAGTTAGAGGAGGCCTTAACTAGAGAATTAGAGAGAAAAAAAAATCCAGACACTAATTGAGTTTAATTTTACAGAGATGAAAGAGAATATGAAAGAGAATAACAACAAGAATGGAGTCGAGGAAAAGACAGAGGTTGAGGAGAAGCCTACTTTGGGAACTAAGCCCAAAATCATCGGAAACGTTGCAGTGAAACCATTGATAAAAGAGAGCTTTGCAAATCACCTTGTAATGGTAAACAAGCAAACAAATGCCATGTTAGCATTTGCTACAGCAATGGAGAGAACCACCGACAAGCTGAACGACCTGATGAAGGAGAGTATGAAGATGGTACAAATGCTGTGCAACTTCACGGACAAAGAGTTAGAGACAAAGAGAGATCGAGCTAATAAATCTGAGGTAACACCAATTTCTGTTCATTCTAGTCAAAAGAGACCACTTGAAAATGCGGAAACGGGAAATGAAAATGGTAAAAAGGCGAAATTCGATGAAGGTCAAGAAAGTAGAGTCAATAAAGAGTTAGAGTTAATGAGAAAAAGCATAGAGGAAAAAGAGTTGAGCGCGACAATGAACATTAAGAGAGATTATAAGTTGACGCAAAAAGTCAATTTCAATATCTGGTACGATTAATTAAGATCCGAGTTAATGAGTCACGATTTATTAGAAGTATTAGAGTCAAACGCGTCGAGTAACAAAAATTTATCAGAGATAGTAATAGAAAAGAGAAAAATCCTTGTTAGAGATATAATAATAAACCACATTGACGAGTACTACCATAAGAGAATTTTGAATATCGCCGAGCCCAAAGAAATTTTGAAAAAATTAATTGGGCAAAGAAGAGATGAATCTAATGTCACAGCAACGTCAGTTCGTAAAAAATTGTAGGCGTTAAAAATGAATAAAAATGAGTCAGTAAACGAGTTTTGTGAGAGATTTGACGCGATAATTAGAGAGTACGAGACTTGTGGCGAGGGCGTAGAATTAACAAAACAGGAGATGAGATCAGCTTTTTACCAAGCAGTCACTCCAGGAATCCCACAATTAAGAGACGCGGATTTGATTAAGAGAACAAATTCAAAAGAAATGACACTAGAAGAAATTAAATCGTTTATTTCACAGCTAGAAGCCGAGAGGAAGAACAGCAAGATGATCAAAACATCAAAGCAAATAGAGTCAACTCAGGGAGCCGAGGCAGAGAAGACAGGTGTCATAGATGTTCGGGACCTGGACACTGGGAACAACAGTGCCCTTGGAAAGAAAAGGGCATGTGGGATTGCTACGAGTGCAAGAAAATGACGGACCACAAAGCCAGTGATCACGAGAAGTATCCTGATCGTTTCAGGAAACGCGGAGGTAATACTTTTAGAGGTAAAGATTTTAAAAAACATGATAAAACTGAATATAATAAAAATCAGTATAGAGGTAGAGGGCTAGAGAAAAATGAACAGAAAGGGGTTAAGAGTAATAAAAATAATAAGAGTACCAAAAACACTAAGAGTAATTACAATAATTATAAGAGCGCTAACAATAATAGAGATCAAAAAGGAAAGGAAAGCCTTAGGAGAGTAAAAGGGGATGAGGAAGATGATGGAGGTAAGAGTCAAAACGAGAAATATATTACTTTCATAGCCGACTCGGGGGCTACAGATCACGTCATAAACGACAGCCTATTTTTGAGTAATTTTAAAAAATGTAAAGATAAAGTAATTAAGAGTGCGAATAAAAATGATTCTGCAAACATTGTAATAGATGGAAAAGGCGATCTGTTGCTCTACAGAGACGGCAATGAGAATAATATATTTAAATTAACGAATGTAATAAGCGCAAAAGACGTATCTGAGAATTTATTATCACTAAGAAAATTAGCTGACGCAGGATTTAACATATATTTAAATGATAGAAACTTAGAGGTAATAGAGAAAAATACTAATAAAATAGTGTTAGAGGGAGAATATGAAAAACCAAACTGGGTTTTGAATTTTAGAGTTAAAAATTATTTAAACAAAAAGCCAGACGAAGATATAGAATATGATGTTTACTGCTGCAGACCTATAATGATGAAAGATGACGAGATTAAAGAGCAATCGCAAAGAATCATTCAAGACAAAAAATTATTAGAGTAGGAGAAAGTAGAGAATGTAAAGAAACTGAAAGATTCTGCGATTGGGAGGGAGAAAGAGAGCATCACGTCATCATTTAGAGAAGAAGATTTAAAAAAATTCAGAGTCAAAGAAGCCAGACACAGAGAGTAAAACAGAAAACATAGAAAACTGAGATTCCAACTTAGTAACAAGAGAAACAGTCACGGTTGACAACATCAAGTCCATACAAAATATAGAAGAAATGATTTCAACAAATATATTAGAGAAAGGTAAACGTGAATCTGAGAAGATCAACGAGGCCATGTTATGGCACGTTAGACTGGGATATGCGTCAATAAATTACTTAAAAAAACTTCAGAGTATTAATAAAAAATTGGAGAAAGTAAAATTTGATCAAACAATCAAAGATTGTGAAATATGCACTATGGCAAAAATGCAAAAATCGCCATTTAAAGAGACAAGAGCTAGAGCAGAGAAACAACTTCAGAGAATCCACACGGACACAATGGGACCGATGAAACCATCGTCCTACCCTGGACAAAAGAGATTCATCATTGACTACATAGATGACTTTTCGAGACTTGCAAGAGCATATTCTGTAAAATCAAAAGAGGAATCCGGCGACACATTAGAGAAGTTTCTGGTATCAACTCGGAACTTACTAGGTAAAGATGAAAGCGTGTTATCTACGATCAGACCAGGGCACGGAATTCACTGGAGGCAAATTCTTAGAGGTACTGAAGAGAGAGAAGATAGAGGCAGAGTTCGCATCTCCATACACACCTGAACATAACGGCGTGTCTGAGAGATTCAATGCGACAATCCAGAGAAAAGTAAGAGCATATATGCTTGACTCAGGCCTACCATCGACTATGTGAGAGTTAGCAGTGGATGCAGCAGTGTATGCATACAACAGGACTCCACACAAGTCAATTGAGTATCAGATTCCTCTGGTGAAGTTTGCATCAAACGCAAGCTGTCATTTTGACCAGATAAAGAGATTTGGTTGCATCGGATACATAAAAATCCCGAAGCCAGAATCAAAATTCACTGAACGAGCACTCAAAGCGGTCCTGGTTGGATACAAACCAGTTGGATACTTACTATGGCATCCAAGCACGAGAAAATTTCTAGAGTCGAGGCATGTAAAATTCAATGAGAAAATTGTATACAAAGATGTATACAAAAATCAGCATTTAGAAGAAACTAAAGAAAATTCAAAAGAAGAGAATTTGATTGAATGGAATTCGTAGAGTGAATTAGAGAAAGAGACTAATATTGAAAAAGAGATTGCGAAGTCTGAACTAAAGAAAAGAGGTAGACCAAAAAGAGTCAAATTGAAACAAATAAACCATGCACCAGAAGTCAGAGCAAGAGAAAATTAAAATTAGATGATACGAGTAAAGTAAATTATATTTACAAGCCAGTAGAGGATATAAGCTTCACGAAAGACAAAGACACTCCAAAAGATTTAACAAACGAGAAAATTAGAGATGAAGATGAAGAGATACACTGCCTTATGGCATCACTAAATGAAGATCCAGCAAGTTATGCTGAAGCAATGAGAACACGAGAAAGAGTATCATGGACAGGAGCCATTAGAGACGAGATTGAATCAATGAACAAGAATGAAGTTTGGAGATTAGTAAGTAGAGCAGAAATTCAACAACAAGGGAAAAGAGCGAACATCATAGATTCGAAATGGGTATTCAAAAGAAAACTGGAATCTGATGGAAACACAAGGTACAAGGCACGGCTAGTGATTAGAGGATTTAAAAACAAAAATAAATACGATCTAAAAGAGACATATGCGCCTGTATCAAGGCTACCATTAATTAGAGCAGTGCTGGCAATTATTAATAAGTTCGACTTATTTTCGTGTCAGTTAGATGTATAGACAGCGTTCTTGAACGGAATACTGGAAGAGGAAATATATATGGAGATTCCAGAGGGTCTGGAGGTCGACGAACACACGAGAAAGACTATGGTATGCAAGTTAGAGAAGTCACTATATGGTTTGAAAATAAGCCCAAAGAAGTGGAACAAGAGATTCACCGAAAAGATCAAGGAACTTGGGTTCGAGAACGACTTGCATGAGCCATGTCTTTATACATGGAGGAAAGATAGAGTAATGGCACTAATAGTACTATATGTGGATGATATATTGGCAGACAGCAACAGCGAGAAAAAATTAGAGGAAATTAAGAGTCATCTTCACAGTGCATTTGAGATGAAAGATCTAGGAGAGCCAAAGAGTTTTCTGGGGATGCAAATTCATAGAGATAGAAGAGAGGGATATATGACGATTAAACAAGAGAGATATATTGAAAGTATTTTAGAGAAATTCAATATGAAAGAGTCCAAACCACAAAGTACAACAATGGTTACGAGACAAGTAGAGAATCAAAGCAAGAGAAGAAAATTAGAGGAAATAAAAACAGAGAATTCACTTAAGAGTGGAGAAATTAAAAGAGTACCGCTTAGAGAAGCCATCGGAAGCCTGATGTACCTAGCCAATGGAACCAGACCAGATATCTCATTCGCAGTAAACTACCTAGCCAGAAAGCAAACAGAGCTGACAGAGAGTGATTGGTTAGACGTAAAGAGAATATTGAGATACTTAAGAGGGACTTCAGAAGTGGGTTTGAAATTCACGGGTAAAACAGAAACTTTGGAGGCGTTCACTGACGCGAGTTTTCGAGACAACGAGGGGTCAATAATATCAACAGGAGGCTATGTAATTAGAGTATTTGGAGATATAATCGCCTGGAGGAGTCATAAACAGAGCTATGTGACACTATCCACATGCCAAGCTGAATACTTGGCAATGAGCGATGCCTGTCAAGAAATTATATCCTTAGACAAGGCCACAAGATTCATAATTGGCAAGACACAGTTCCCAGCAACAGTTTAGTGTGACAACCGTTCTGCAGGAGACTGCACCAAAAAGGACGGAAGTCACAAGTTAAAAATGTTTGATGACAATTTAGAGGAAATTAATAAGAGTTTGTTAGAGCGAGAAAAGAGTGGAAGCCGAAAACACATGGCAAACACTCATGGAGACTTTATCAAGGAGTGTGTCAAGCAAAATAGAGTAAGAGTATACTGGGTAGCCACCAAAGAGAACATAGCGGACATTACGACGAAACCATTAGTGTTTTGTCGAAAACTATCCAATGCGGATAATCTCGTAATTGTTTTAAATTATATGATAAAGTTGGGATTAGGAAATTAAATAATAATACTTGGAATTTTTGGGGAACAATTTAAAAGAATTTACTTGTCCCCAAAGGAGGAAAACCCAGCTAGGCTGGGAAAAAACCTCTTTGTTGAAAATTATACAAGTAAGTTGTATGTGTGTAAGTGTGTGTGTGTGTAAAATTACGTTGCAATAACGCAATAGGGGTGAGCTCAGCCGCCGTATAAAGAAAATTATCGATAATTTGAATTTGTACTGTCCCAAGGCGGGAGCTAGTAATATCCAATTAATTAGATGAACTGTCTGAAGGCGAGAGCTAATAATGTTCAATTAATTAGATGAATTGTCTCAAGGTTAGAGCTACTAATGTTTAATTAGTTAAATAAATAGTCTCAAGGCGAGAGCTAATAATATTCAATTAATAACAGAATGTTAATCAATTGAGTTTGATAATTTCGTGTAGAAATTAGTCAAATGATTTGAAGTTGGAATTTAATTATTTATGAGTTAAATTAAATAAGATCGTAATTAAATGTTAATAATTAATTCAAGTTAAATGAAATAAGATCGTAATTAAATGTTAATAATTAATTCAATGTAATTAATGGTTAATATCACGCGTCAATTATGGATTGACTAAAGCCGCGTGGCTGATGCAATCCTTTGTCACGGTGGCGCGTAATGGCCGCGTGGCGTTACTAAATAAATTTACTTGATTTTATTTATGTTAATTCACTGAACTATTAAACTGATTTAAATGAATTGAGAATTTAGAGTATAATTGAATCTACTATAATTATTTAGATTTAATGAATGATTTAAATATTTGAATGAATGTGAGATGTAAGTAAGAATTCTCAAACTGATTAGCACAGAGTAGTCGTACTAGTACAGAAGTCCAAGCACAACTGTTGCATCAGACCACGCGAGCCGGCTTCTCTACCGCTAACCAAGGCGCGCATGAGCGACGGCCATAGCGTGATACGATTATTCCCGAGTTTATACGATTATTCCCGAGTTTTAACGATTAAGCCCGAAGGCGTAATTCTTCTTATAAGTGTTTGACTAGATCCTTTTTCTAGCGGTTAAACAATTAGCCTTAGAGAGTCATCGATACCTTAAAAATAAACTAGTAAGCTAAATTAACATAATTTATTTGTAATTTTGTTACAGGCAAACCATAAAAGATTTAGAGGATCTGACAAAGGGAGGGAGTGTGAGAAAGGCTTTGTCAGAACGTGGAGCGGGGAGAGATGGAGGAGAGTTGCGCGCGCATGCGAGCGCTCTCGGGGCCTCGAATCCTCACTTGAGCTTGGACGCTTGCCTTTTACGTATCACGTACTTATGTATAAGAGTTAAAGAATATATTAAGAGTTGCAGTATTTAATTAAATATCAAGTGTTATTGTTATTAATAATAACCCTTCACCTGACCTAATATCCTAACAAAAACAAATACGTTTATTATTATTTTGATTTCTCTTGCTAGTTTAATTTGAAATGTGTCTGTTACAATTCTTATTTAAAAAAACAAAAAAAATTAATACATTATTATTTTTCATGTTTTGTTTGAATTACCAGTCTGATTAAGAGACATTGATAATAATTCTGTTTTGAAAAAAATAGACATTAATACTCATGTCAATAATTTAAACACCAGATTATCATGAACATTGTACAACAGATAGTTTAGGATTACAGGTTGCTAAATGATGTTTAATTATTGATCAATGTACCTGAAACTAGGTTACCAGAAATATAATTAATTAAGTATTTTTGTTAATTATTATAAGGAGATTTATACTGAGGTATCTACCAGTAAAACTGATTGTGAGGTGATACTCTCTGACACCACGTATGAATGACACTTATTGTACTTGTATGAATGAGTTATTTGGATTTGACTGCAACCAGAGTAAATCGGTAATTGATTCATTTATCCAGGTCACAGT